GTTGTGGGTGAAACGATTTATTGAAGAACAATTGAAGCGGCCGAAATCTGAGTCTTGCGTAAGGCACAATGGCCACTGAGGCCGCCATGTGCCCCAGTAGTCTTTGTATGGTGACGGCTTGCACTGTCCATAGTCGTCGGATCCAATGGATGTGGGCACACAGCGTGGCTCCGCGGGATGAAGAAACGCTCTTTGTAGAATGGAGTCGATACGTGCCCCGATGAAATCGATGACCTGTGTCGGGATAAGTGACCATTTCTTAAAATTAATGCATAGTCCAAGATCATCAAGCAAAGTACAAGTCATATGGACAGCCGCAAGGAGGTTGTCCTTAGTCTGTGACACAATGAGCCAATCATCTAAATAGGGGTAGACTTGTATACCCCAAAGCCATAGGTGAGTGCATACTGGGGCCATGCATTTTGTAAAAACTCTCGGTGCCGTAGCTAGACCGAACGGGAGTACATCGAATTCGAAAATATCGGATCCAACAGTAAAACGCAGGAAGTGTCTATGGGAAGGATGGATAGAGATATGAAAATAAGCATCCTTCAAGTCCAATGAGGCGAACCAATCCCCTTTTTTCAGCAACGGAAGGATATTCTGTAAGGTGGTCATCCGGAACTTCTTTGGTTTAATGTATCTATTGACATTCCTCAGATCCAGGATAGGTCGAAGACCACCGTCCCATTTGGGGACCGTAAAATATCGAGAAGAGAATCCGTGAAGCCCATCGGTGCAAGAGAGTTGTCGAGTCGCACCTTTACGAAGAAGTTGGTAGACCTCATTGTACAAAACCGAAGATGGTGGCGTAAATTGGATAGGGCTCGATGATGGAATGATGTCGAATTCTATTCTATATCCGAGCTGTCGAATGATGGACAACACCCACCTATCAGATGTAATAGACTCCCAAATGGGGAGTCGGCTTTGAAGCCAGCTCCCAAAAGGGAGAGAGGAAGGTGGGGGGTGGAAAGACGAATTGGTTCTCCGGGACCGTCAACAAGGGTGTTTCTCGGAGTTGAAGCACCGACAGCCCTGAGAGAAGCGCTGTTGGGGCTGTTGCCTTCTACGCTGCTGCCTCTGCTGGTAGTGTTGGCGAGGTTGGTAGTGCTGGCGTCCGTAAGGCCTGGACCATGACCACTTACGTTTAGTTTGTGGGAGCTCCATGCGACGTGCTGTCATGCGGGATTCATGGATGGCTTTGAGTTTTCGATCAGTCTTCGCGTGGAAGAGGCCAGTGCCATCGAATGGCATCTCCTCTATCCTCCTCTTCATTTCTTCAGGAAAATTACAATTCCTGAGCCTAGGTGGTGACTGTGTTCCCTCAGGTGGCCCAGCAGTAGGAATCAGAGTCAGAAAATGCTGCCTCGGTGGGGAATCTCTAATTTCTTCATTGGAGATGGACTCCCGAAGCAGTGGCTCCGGTCGGGGAGACACGCTCTCAGGTCAAACCACAGGCCTGGGGGATCCCAGAGGAGTCACCTGCATCGCCAGTTGCAGGGCCAGTCCCGAGGGAGTCGGTACCATAGCGGCGGTCGGTACCGAGAACCCCGACGAACTCGAGCCCTTGCGTTTGGGGCGGTCGAGTTTCTTGCCCTTATGGGCCGCCTTAGCCGCCTTATCTTTCCTCGGCTTCTTGTGCACAGAGGATTTGTCCGGTTCTGAATGTTTACGCTTCTCCTTTTGCTTAGCTGGAGGAGAAGGTAGCTGTTGCGCTTCCGTTGAAGCAGCGCCTTCGTCCGAAGGATGCTGCGGTGGTGCAGCCGATGTAGAGGCAGGGCGCTTAGAGGGCGCGGCTGAAGCAGAGGCGGAGCGCTGCGGTGGTACAGCCGAAGAAGGGGTAGGCCCTGGGACCAACTGGTCTGATTGGAGCAAGGCCTGATCCCAAAGCAGCTTATGGAGATGATTCTCCCTATTCTTCCTGGCCTGTTTAGTAAAGACCAGGCAATGCCCGCACTTATTGGTCCTTTGCCCCTCGCGGAGGCAGAGGAGGCATAAGTCGTGTGGGTTGGCGGGAGACATTTTGGAGCTGCACTCACTGCACTTGCGGAATGCTGGCCGCTGTGCCATCGCGAAAAAGAAGAAAGAGATGATAGTACAGAGGGTAAGAATATATATATATATATTAAGATATAGAAGAAAAACTACAATGAGGAAGAGAAGAAAGAACTGGGAATATAATGAGGAACGAGGTAAGTAGAATAAGGTATAACCGTTAGGAGCACAAGGCGAAAATCTAAGCGAGAGACGAACAGGCACGAGGCACAGTGAACGGCGGTCGCAAAGACTGAGTAAAATGGCGGACGTTCCGCTCTATTTATACTGTGGGGGGAGGGAGCGAAGCTTTTTCCTGCCAAAAACCGTTAGCTTTCTAATCTTCCGGCCTAGGCACTGCTCAGGCGCAGCACCCCATATGTGTGATGCACAGAGGCCACGATGAAGAAATGAGCTGAAGCTGAAGGGAAGCTAGGTGTGAGGCACTTTCACAAGGGAAGATCAAAACATTCCTCTGCATTCTTTCTACCAACACTGCCTTGTTTCTGGTACATCCTGAAAACATTTTTATTTTAGGAAGGCTTTGTTGGTAGATGAACCTTTTCCCCATTTTTAAATGATTTCTTCTTTTAATGTGTTATTCATTTTTATTGCTTTTATTATTGGCCACCAGTCCAGAGTCTATGGAGCAGAATATTAATACCATTAACAATCATAATCAATTTAACATCAAGAGATTTGGGGCAAGGTGTCTCCAGTACATGGACCACGGCCAGATCTATGTCCTTGTGAGATCTGCCCTGGGAGAGACTGTGCATGTTGGAAACTGATGCTTGGATGTAGTGCTTTCTTAGAATTGGAATTAAAACTTGAGGCAGAATCCCTGTAAATTAGAGATACTATGGACTGGCAGTTCCCTGATTTGGGAACTGGTCCATTAGCCTATTCTGAGGGTATAGGTACATAGTTTGGGAGTGCTCCTAGATCCATCTCTGTCCCTGGAGGCCCATGTGACCTTGGTGGCTCAGAGTATCCACCACCAACTACAATAATCCTTGGAAAGGGATAATCCAGCCATGCTGATCCACACACTGGTAACCTCACAATTAGACTACTGTAATGCTATTGTAATGTAACTCTAATGCTAACGTAACTCTACATGGGGGCTATCCTGAAGCCTGGTTTAGAAGCTGCAGTGAAAGAATACAGCAGCTGGGACACAGCAGCTCACCAAAGATCTGTTAGGAGAACTCCACTGGCTGCCTCCAAGCTACCAACCCATGCTATGTTGCCGACAAAGAAAGCCCTAAAAGATTTGGGACAGTATACCAGCAGGCCACTTATATTCTATTATATATACACCAAACCAAACTTTATCTTCATCAATCTGAAAACAAGCAAGCAAAAATGAAGGAAAAAAACGCTTTCTGGGGAAAACAAAAGAGCAGCTGCTTCAAATATTTTCCTCAGAAAGGAATTTTGCCTCAACCATATACAGCCAAACTACATTTATTCCACTAAATCTTCCTCCTCCTCCTTACCATTTAAGGATTCAGGTGTGGCTGGGTTTGCATGATACTGTAGGAGATAAGCCACAGTAGGTTTTCCTATTGTGTGAACTGGACGAGCCAGCATGACAACCCATGGCTTACTGTAGTGGTGGTTGAACCCATAAGAGACTGCCATGCTGTTTGAAACCAGGTGATTGATCCCATGATGTCTCAGTGAAAAAATGCATGGGGACCTTGTCAAAAAGATGCTTTTTAAAAGGTACCAGAATTCTGACAGGCAGTTGACAGCTCCTGTAGAAAGGGGTGACTCTTACTTTTCCATGTTCCTGAGTGCCTAGTCTTGAGAACAAGTGGAAAACCAAGAGCAGCATAAGGACAGTCAAATCCCTTCCACCCTCCAAAATCCCACCAGCTCTTTTTCACAAGCACAGATGACTCTATGGGAGAAGAGCACACAATTCACAGCGAGTCCAACTATCTGTTGGATGGACTGCAGGTTAATCAAAGAGCAAGTAACTTAACCTGGTTTATTGGTATGGCAGGTTGTCATGAAGTACAACTGAGTCCTCTGTGTAATACATTATGCACATTATGATCAGTCAAATGTTCACCAAATAGACCATGGAAATCAACCATGTGTACAAGTCGAGGCTGAATACTTCAAACATGTGAATGATCTCCATACAATTTTTGTACATGAGCCAAGACATGAAATGTCAGCTATTTACGTGCTTAATTCCAGACCATGCCTGTGGTAGCCCTTATTTTAAAACAGCTAGTTGGGCATAGTAGTTCACGTGCTGGATTAGGACTTGGGAGTTCCAAGATCTAGTCCCCACTTGGCCATGAGGCTCACAGAAGCCTCGCCTACTACACAGAATTGTTACAAGAAGGAAATGGAGAATGAGTGACTAAGCCTCCTCTCCCACCCTCCCTGCAACAGGAAAAAAAGGTCGAGATATAAATGTAGAAAAAAAAGTGATTTGGCAAAAGACTTTTCTACCCAGTATGTTTGAAAACTATAAAATGTGTAACACAGATGTGCCAAGTATACAAACAAGTCAGAAATGACAGAGCAGCATCCATCCATATGCCTTGTTGCTTCTTTCTCAGGTCCACAGGGTCAGTTCTCTCACTTGTGAACAGTGGTCATCAACTGTACAAATCTGAATTGAACCTTTTCTCTTTCTTAAAAAATCAATACTTTTAAAGGACAAATTAGATGTGGTGATTGTCACACAATTCCATCCTGCACAGCTGTTCTTCCTTTACATATTGGACAATGGGTCAGGTCCTGGGCAGGATCAGAGCAGTAGCATCGGTGGGGTGGGGTGGGGGTGGGCTTGTCTCTGCTTCTAGCTTGATTGGAATAAATTACTATTTACTAGGAGGAAAGCTCCTATTTGCAGGACCAAACTATGTGACAGATGTCTTGCCTTGTTTGGCCCTCATGTATCAAATGCAATTTTGTAGAGAGTCAAAACACACAGCTTAATCTTATAAACATTTATTACCTAGCTGCATAAGAAAAACAGAGAAAGACAGACAAACCAAAATGAAAGAAACAAAGTGATTTACTGAAGTAAACATGAAAAATCCTTCAATGCTGTTTTCAGTTGGGCAGAGAAATTTCTTGTACTATTCGGTCTGAGGAAAACTCAAATAACTATACTGTTAGTTGAATAGTTTGAACAACTACTTCAGTTGCCTTAAAACTATCAGTCACTGTGGCAAAAGGTTACAAAATGAAAGAAAAATGTTGGTCAGGTAGCCTACAAGACTGGGTCATCTCTAACCTTTTTCCAACACAACTAAGTGAAAACAAATGCTATTTCATTTCCTGCAAGGCCAAGTCCAGCCAAAATGAAATTAGTTAAAATATATCTAAAAGAAAATTCTCTCTATCCTCTGTGATACAAACGACCAATTCAGTTCTTCCTGTTTTGCTGGAATGGGCTCTGGAAACTGGCAGACACGTTCAAAAGTAGAGTTGGAAGGGGGAAAGGAAAATAGAAAAGAGTCTCTTTTTTTGCTGACTCTTGATTCATTCACTTAAATCCTTATGCTTGGTTGAGCATTAAGATATGCAACTCTGAATCTCCTAAAAGGGAAACAGACAAAAGACACGCACACACACTCTCACACACACAGAGGGGGGGATGCTCAGAGTTTCAGGGGAATAATTGGCCAGTACTTGGGCTGCTTTTTATCACAGTTCCTATCAAAGCCAAGCTGCATGGTGGTCTCCATAGCTTGGATTTTGCTGGCCCCTGCACCATAGAGTTTCTTCATTTCAGCCATTCTCCTTTCGCCAGGCTTCTCAGCTGGGGGCTGCGCAGATCGGCCTGCCGATTGGTGAAGGTCATGGTCAGCTTCAACGTATGTGCCCTGGTGTTCCGCCTCAAGCTGTTGCTGTTTTCCTAAGAGAGACAAACATAATTCACGAGTCATTTCTCAGCCACACAAGTCACCTGTGTGGACACAATTCTCAGGCTGTGCCAGAACTTTATCTTGCTCTTTTGCTCCATTGTCATTTAACACAATAGAAAACTAATTGCTTTCAAACAGACATTCCAAAGAGAAGAACATTTTGGAGAAATTTTCAATAGTCTGGGTTCTTGTCCTTCCTTTACTTAGCTGAATAAGGTGTGCAAGAGCCCTGCTTCTCATTGTATGCTCATCTCTCCAGCAATCTGTAGCCTCCTTGGCTCCCCACATTTCAGTTAAAATTCAGGGGAAGGCAGTATGAAGCAACTGCTCCCAAAGAGCTTGTTCAGATGAGGACGTGCAGGCAGCCTAGGAGATAGCAAAGCAATGGCGGGATGCATAATAGAAAGCAAAACAGACGTGGCCACCTTGCAGTGATTAGGTAAGTCCAAAAACATCCTCAAAATAAAGAATGGAGTGCCCCATGTATGTGGTAGAAACAGGGAAGACCTTTCCGTGTGGCTAGGACCTTCTCAGGAAACTGGAGGACCTATTTTGGCACAGCACCTCTTGTTGATCTCCCACTTCCATTGCAGAGGATGTGAAAAGTCAGTGTTGTTGCCACTTGTAGTGGCAGTGCAAAGAAAAGAAAAACCCTTAAGGAAAAAGAAAGAAGTTGCGTTACAACTCCACTGATGGTAGGCCCTTCCTGCAAGACACTGTTCAAAAATTTACCCTCCTCCAGGAGAAACATTGTTAAATTTCAAACTGCATGAATAGGGTGCAGAATTTTGGGAAGGCATTTGTGCGCAGCACTAGTAGGCAGGGTGTCCAGCTGTGTGAGGCCTTCCCAAAGGAGCCACCAATTCCATGGGAAAGACCCATGCAATTTGCCTTAGCTCATGAGAAATGCAGCAAAATTGTCCTTCTATTTTTTTTGCACACAAGCAGGGAGCAGAATATAGACAAGCTATTTATGTATATACTTTGGTGTGTCTATAGCTCTAGCACATTCAGAAGCATGTTCAGCTGGGCAGGGGTGTTGCATCTCTTGTTACAACTAGCCTGAAGCGTACCATCATAAAGGGGACAATATTGATATCTTACAACAGCTGCACTGGTTGCCAGTTCTTTTCTGGGCAAAATTTATAGCATTGGTAATGACCTTTAAGCCCTGAATGACTTGGGTTGCCACCAGAATTATCTCAGGGTCTGTCTTCTCCTCCCACACCAGCCTGCCTCTCACATCTGCTGGGAAGGCTCTGCTTCAAGTCTTGATTGTGGTGCAGCCACAGCTGGTTGGGACACAGAGAGGACATCTGTGGTCTAGACTGTGGAATTCCTTACCGTAGCAAGGCCTTTTTGCCTCCCTACCCCACTTTGTTTTGGCTAAGATGCTTCAAAAAATATTCCAACAGACATTTGAGCTTTTTTGTGTCTGGCCCTCTGGTTTTTAGATTGGTCTTATCTAATGTTACTAGTCTCATCCACCTGATCATGCTTTTACAGTGTTGATAATTTAGTTTGGTATGTTATTGTTTCTAAAGTGCTGTAAGCCACCTTGAACAATTGCAGTGAAGACTGGAAGATGTTTAATACACTTATGAACAGTTTTCAAATAGAGTATGTGGAATGAGGAATTTAACAAAAAGAACTGAAGGGTGGATGTAAAAATGCATTCCTATAGCAGAAAGTTTAAGTAAGAAGGATGAACAAAGGATTAATGAAGATTTTGCTTTGGAAAACAGACATATCACATGTACAAAAGCTAAATTAAACCTGGTCTTTTCCTGTAAAATAGAACAGACCTACCTTGTTTTGCAGCTGTGGTGTTGAAACGATAAAATAGGACAATGTAACTTTAGCTAAACTTTTGCCAATGAAAACTGCTGACATTTTTCAGGCAAGGGGAAAGACAAGACTCAGCCTGCCATGCATGCCCAAGCATAAGCGCATCTTGTGAAACACAGCTGTTAGTACGGTGTTTATGGACACCTGTCAAATTTACACACCACTGAATGCTCATGAAGACACCCTCCTTCTTTTTCCTGTTAAACACTACCCACACAGCAGCAGCGTGATGCAGTATTAAGCCTCGGTGTATACTTGGTTCCTCACTGCTTGAATGGCTGTATTTTCTGGTTAACACTGCATAATGTGTAGCTTCATGCATGCATGGAAATAGTTTATGGCCAAATTTATCTGCCAGTTTAAACGCAGGCCATTTGGATCTATAGATCATTCCCATTTTAGAATAGCCAGTTGAATACTAACTTTAAAAAATAATGTCATTTAGAATATGGCCCGCTTTTAAAGTTGACACACTGGAAGACACGGGGGAAAAACAATCAAACAAGCCAAGAATGTTTCCAACATATTTTTATGTGTATACACACACACACCTTCTTTAGGAGTCCTGTTTTAGGTTTCCATCCATACATGACTCATAAGTTACATGTTACTCTCCTTTATTGGACTGCGATTTTTCCAAATGTGTGTCTTTAAGGAAACAGCAACATGTGTAGACCTCCTTAAGTGACAGCTAGTGTGCCTAAAGTCACATGGGAAACATCCCCTCTTTGTTCTTGTTTACCATCTCTAACAGTGAACAGGAAAGATTATTACCTTCCAGGAGAAAAGTTGGGAAAATTTCTATGCTACTATTCTCTCTCTCACACACACACTCACTACCTAGTTATCTATCATGCGCACATGTGTGTGCATATATATTCCATAAAAGGTCAGAGCAGCTTCCAGAACAGGCCAATGAGAAGTGAACATACAATCCCACTGCATCACAACTAAGAGGCCTGAGCACATGAGAAGATTTATATCTGCTTTCTCCAGAGAGACTGAAAGAGCTAAAATTGAGAAGGCTCCAGCTTTGGTTATCATCTGTCTCACCTCCAAAGGTGGGAGGGGCCACAAGAGAGTCTCTGAAGAGAATTTCTTTAAGGCAGACATGAGGACAGCCCATATTTTATTTTATATTGTAATTTGTTTTATATTTTTAATGTATTATATTTTAATGTTTTGTGAGCCGCCCCGAGGCTTCGGCGAATGGGGCGGCATAGAAATTTTCTAAATAATAAATAAATAAATAAATAAATAAATCTTGTGGGTGTATTGCCCAGATGTAGTCTCTGAGGTCCTGCACCTACCTGGCCTGCTTCTTCCCCAGGTGTCACCCTTTTCCCTGGCAGAAAAAGGGCTTTTATTTCCAATCAGAAACTGATCAGAGATTGTTTTGACTTTCAACTCCCATCAGCCCCAGCCAACAGGGTCAGTGGGGTTTTGTAGGCTAAATTTTGACCTCTGGAAAGCATCACTTTGGGGAGACGTATTTTAGCATGCTCAGCAGCTTATGTATACAGAGCAACTTCTAACATTACACAAGGCACTGCTTGCACAATGGAAGGAGAAGTCCCATGTGCATCCCCTGCATGTCCCGAAATCTACTCTGGAAAGTTCCCCAGCCCAGCAGAGCAGACCTGGGGGAAACACTGCGTGTGGCACGTGCGATTCCCTGCTATCCATTTTGCTGCAGGATGAGCACCACTGGATACAATCCAAAAATCTTGTAAGCCTGTTAACTATCCTGTAAGATAATACTGACTATTCTTCCCCTACTGCAGATCAGGGATCAAAGCAGAGAGTGTATAATTTGCCTAAAAATGCCTAGTGATTTCATGGCAGTTGACAGATTAAATCAAGCAGTTCCTGCTACAATCACATTGTCCTTCCATCAGAATTTCAGGGGGGAGTTGGACACAAGCCACCTGTACATAGTGGGCACAAGCCACTCACTGCTGTATTTACAACATGCATGATTACTAGCAAGTAGACACAAACCGGATTCTAGAGTGACACCTTGCAATCCTGGTTAGCATCCCCCTCTTTACTTTTTTGACTCATCCAGATGCACACCACTGAAATCACCTTCCAACCGTATACTAAAATTAAACTTACTGCCATTGCTGCCTGAAAACATCTGTAGTATATTTTACGGCTGGAGAAACACATACCACCTGTGTGTCTGTGCACACACGCACATGTGTGGCAGCTCACTGTCAATCTGTCTGGCTAACAAAACAGATTATGCTTCACTCATGGAAAAGAGATATTTAAACAGTACAATCTGGAACTTAAATTTTTGGTTTCATTTATTTCCTGGGTAGTAAGACTTGCAGACAAAGTCTTGTTTTCCCATCAAAGTTTGCCATGATTTATTCTATTTCCATTGACTCAGCATAACCAAGTTGAATTGAGACAGTGGTGGAATTGAAGGTGAAAAACCTTTGGATTTTCAACCTCTATCCCCCAAGTCTACTTTTCTTACTTTGTCAGGATTTTAACAAAAGGATCCCTAACTGGAAAATAATATCTTTCCTAGCAAAATGAGCTTAAAGACATAATTCTAGGCAAATTCAGACAGATAAAAAGGCCTACAAATCCTAGCATACCCCAGCTCTAAATGATTTTTGGATGGGTGAATACTTTTTCATGCCAAGCCCAGTTCACAGTCTAGACAACTCAGAGGTAAAAATGCATACTATGCATATCATGGGAAAGGTCCAAGCCTTTACAGTCTATAGCTGCCAAGGTGTTTCCTTGAATCTATTTTTACATTGTTTCATTTTATATTAAGTGTTATTTGTTGCAGTGTTTAAAAATTTTTGCACTGTTTGTAAACTGGCTCCAGAGCTTTTAGAAACTTTTTATATGGAATTTAGGAATCTACTGAAATAGGGAAAACTGACTCACTTGAGCTCAATGGATTCCCTGACTGCTTCCCATTCCAATGATCGGAAGTGGGCTGAGTCAAGACTGTGTGTGTGTAAACTTCTACTGCTAATAAAGACAGCGCATGCACACACACACACACCACTCATGAAATTTATGCAAATAAGCACATGGAAACCATGTGGACTTAGCACTATTTGTGCAAAATCAGCCAATTTTAGCACTAGCCTGATTTTGCATTAGCACCCAA